CGAAACAATTCGTGCAGCTTTTGGGAAGTTCTCTGAAGTCATGGCATGGACTTTGGAAGCAAAATAGGCTGAGGCTGGGGTGGGGCACACAAGGACCAGAGGGGGTTTAAACAAAGTACCTATAGTGTCTGCTAAAATAATTTAAAGAATTTCATAAAGATATTGTGAAAAGAATAAAAATATTTAAAAAAGAATTTCATATTTACTATAGGAGTATCTGCATTTCTTAATTTAATAGAGAGGACAGTGTGCACCAAGCGCAAGGAAAGAATTACTTAAAAATAAAATTCTATTCATGCCTGGGGTTGTGAGGACCCAGTCTAACACATAAGACTGAAGTGCCATTGAAATTGAAAGTCTTTCAGTGGGAGAACTCTTTAACATGACATTTGACATCTTTTACTATCTGGCTCTTGTCTACTTCTTTCTATACCCTGGCCTCTTTCCTATACTCTAGGATTTGGTTATGATCTAGGTCTCCAAAACATCACGTTCATCTTCCAAAGGGGTATATTCTTGGTCACCTCCAAGAGGTCACAAATGCTGTTCTACCTGGAATTGACTGTCCCTCACTCCTTTCACCTGGATAACTTCTATACTTTTTTAGTCTTGATTTTACCATTTCTTCAGTTGGGCGTCCCCTGACCCATAGATCCTCTCCCTATCTGCTCCCCCAAACTTTGCAAACCTTAGTGACCATCAATCTTCATTGTATTACTTGCCAGATCCTTGTTTTCTTTTCAAAGGAAACTTAACGCAGGTAGGGACCATGACTGCCTTACTTGCAGCTGTAGCTCCAGAGACTAGTATAGATATTCATTGAATAAATATAAAATATGGAATTTGCAACCCAGCATTAGAGTATACGTGCAATGTATGGAACTTTCTGGAGAGATGGATAGTATATTTCATTTGAGCTTAAAATGCCCTTCTTATACCATGAGACAATAATTTTATTTATTCCAGTTGAGAGTAGTATCCTTCTTAATTTTATTCATTAATTCAGTAATAATTTATATGTTTAAACAATCATACTATAGAGAGAGGCTGAACTCTAAATTGCCTAAATTACCCCTGTGCTAGGCTGACTTCTGTGTGGCTCTTATGCTAATATTTCTCTTGAGTGTTTTCCCCTGCTGTATTTGTGTCATGCTGAAATTCATGGGAGTCTGGCAACCTGAGAATGTCTAATGCAATCATAAGGAAGCCCAATATCTCAAAGTCATTGAAGATTTGCGCTGACATCTGAGAATCAAATTTGTGTAGCACTAACTCCTTCTTTGTGGATTTCTAAATGTTTCCAAAAACTTTAAGGCCTATCAGTTACACATAGAAGTGTACTATATTTACTGTAGGATGAAGATATAGAATTGCTTCCTTAGTAATTTTTCCACATTAGAAATACTGCTGATTGGCTGCTGAAGTCCTTTCCCCATCTACTTTTCTCTTGACCACCTCCAAAGAGGAGGCAGCAAACATCAAATATATATATATATATATATATATATATATATATATATATATATATATATGATCATTCTGTAATAGGAAATGAGAGAGGGAACAAAAAGGACTCTTATTGCCTTCCTGTTTCCTGCCTTTGATGTTTGAAATTGCAGCAGCCATCTTGTAACAATGAGGCAACAAGCCTGAGGAGATGCTGACATATTGTGTTAGTCAGCTTTTCATCACTGTGACCAAAATACCTGACAAAAACAACTTTGGCTCACAATCTTAGAGGTCTCAGTTCACAGTCAGTCAACTCCATTGCTTTGGGCCTGATGTGAGGCAGAACCTCATGGCATAATGGCATGGGAGAGGGAATCCAAGAAGTAGGAAGAGTGAGAAACAAAGAGAAAGGGGAGGGGAAGGGACCAGGGACAAGATATAGACAGAGGCCATGTCACCCAGGACCTACTTTCCCACCTCCTAGTAGTCCGTTCAGCTAAAATATCAGCAAATGGATTTCAGCATATGAATTAATATCAGCATATCCGTATCAGCAAATGGATTAATCTACTGATGAGGTCAGAACTCTAATCATTGCTTAAAAGCTGCAATTCTGAAACTTGCCTTATTGGGGACCATGCTCACAACACATGAGCTTTTGGGGACACTCCAGATCCAAACCATAACACAAATCAAGGATGGCAAAGTAGAAAGGACAAACTTTAGGTCACTGAGGACACTGTTGAGTAGGTGATCCAATGTCAATAACCTCCATCTCCAGATTCCTTGCTACATGGAAAAGATATCACCATTGAAACTACTATTAGGTGATTATTCCACTATTAACATCTAAACACAAATTATTGCAAAAAAGTACTTTAATGCTTCCTTTGTGGAAACTTAAACAAACAGAACTAAATTGTTGACACCTGACCAATTATACTTGGGGAAGAATATTGGATTTGGGGAAGAAATCTAGAAAAGAATTAACTTCATTTAAAAGATTTGGTTATTTCAGTCCTAGAAACAGGCACTTTCACTAGCCTTTATCTTTGGTACAAGTTCTGAGGGATGTGTATTGCAGAGAACCTTCTGTATGACTAAATACCACACTAGGAGCTGAAAGATCTAAGATCAGATTAGGGGAGCAAGTCCTGACCTTTGTGCTGATCAGAAGACCTTGACTGGAGGCATTCACAAGGAGGGAATGCCAAGACCTGATTAAGTTAGGCCAATTACTGTGGCAAGGGGACTGCATTTATTAGTTTAATGAATCAGGGAATACCTCTCCAGTGAAGATGTTTACACACCCACAGTCAACCCTGGAGCTAGCCAATAGAGTTAGCCAATAGTAGAGGGGTGGGATGGCTCTTGGAAGAGAGAACAATACATCCTCCCTATCTGTAAATGAGGGAGTTGGAAAAGCTGACCCCGTGAGACTCTGTCCAGATCTAAACCAGCTGTGATACTATTAGCAGAGTGCATACCTATCTTTGCAGTTGCCTTTTTTGTTTTTTGTCTCCACTTTTTTTCTGCTTTACTTTGTAATTTTCCTTTTCTAACTCTGAGCATAGGTCCCTGTGAAAGACAAAGCTCAAAATGAAAAAGACAACCCTTAACATAGCTTAGGCTTGGGCTGGGGAAAGGAAATGAAGCTAACATGGTGGCTTGTGAGGATCACTGGGCACTTCAGGGCAGAAGGGAGTGATGCCTTATTCATTAGGTGTATGGTGGACATGCCACCTTGGGGTAAATTATTTGAATGGTTGGACCCTCACAGGAGGTGGTGTTTCTCAGGTTCCGAACACAGCTCCCTTCTCTAGAGAATGCACAGGCTTTTGGAATAGGAGAAAAATCTTGTGCAATTATATTTTCCTCTGATTTGCATTTTTAAAAAAGTTTTAATGCCCAAATCCTTACCAAATCTCTCAGCCTCTTGAGGGAGTGACAAGGGTTTTGCAGGGAACATTTCTGAAGAAGAAATAGGCTCTGAGTCTCCCCCATGCCTCATCCACTTTGGTAAATACTAGTTAAAAAATATTATCGCACTGAGAATTTTACCAGATGATTTCTGGAAGCTGACTTATGAACTAATTGGGCACTTTGGCTCTGCCGAGGAACAAAGACTTTTTTATTGGTCTTCAACTGAGGCATATACCTGTCCGTTGGCGTTGGCTCATTCTGCACATGCTCAGTTGAAGAAAAATCTTCATATTGAATGCAACCTAGCACAGCGGCAACACCCACAACCTTACACCCTGCCTGACCCGTGCATCTACTCCCTCTAGTTGCATTTTTACCCTGACAAATCTAACATTCTTAGGGAGTAGAGAACAGAATAAGTGTTGGGTGTTTGGGGACAATATACAACAGGGCTTAAAGTCTCCTTGTGTCACTACCTTACTTTCTTGTCTCCAGGTTGTCTCTAGTGAGGGAGGCGCTGCATAGATGTTTGCTGAGTTTGGGGCAGAAGCGGGAGAAGCTGTCTCTCTAGGTTACTGTTTGTTGTTGCACGCCTTCCTAGACAGTTTTTGTTTGGTCTTTTTCTTGGACGGTCCTCCACCCCCAGCCCTCATCTTCATTGGAATGACAGTGTGGCACTGAAAGCATCCACTGCCAAGCACCGGTCATGAGTGACAACCTCTCCCCACCTCTTTTCTTGCTTTCCCATTCATTAGCATCCTTTCCTTGCCTTTTTTCCCAGCAAAAATTGAGAAAAGCTTCCTGCGATTGCAAAAAAAAAAAAAAAAAAAAGGTGGAGAGCGTCCGCAGTTGCGAGCATCTCGCCAAAGAACGTGCGTCCGTGGACCCCGCGTTCCCAGCCCCTAGGTCGCTGCTGGGCGTGGAGGCGACGACCCAGACCAGCCCTGCCTCAGCAGCTAGAGCCCGCGCGCCCCACTTGCCAACCCCCTGCGCCCTCTAGATTCCCGGCGCCCGCCGGTTCACCGTGACGTGGCCGGCGTTGCACGCATGCGCAGCTTGGCCCGATTCCCCCTTTCCCTGGGCCACCGCCTCCCGACGGGCTGGAATGGGCGGGGCCTGTGGATCTGGCAGCGCGCGGATCGAAGTGGGAGGAGGGCGCGTATGCGCTAGGCCTCGCGAGCCGGTCGGCTGCTGAGGCTGAGGGGAGGAGCTGAAGACAGCGGCTTCGGCTCCCGCCCGCACTGAGCTTTCGTCCAGCGAATCCCCCTCCCACTCCCGGGCGGGCGGCGGCGGCGGCGGGAGGAGGAGAAAGAGGAGGGAGCGTCTCTGCCGCCGCCTCCTGGTCCCCAGCGCCGATCCGCCGCCGCCACCTCCCTCTGTGGTGATCCTCCCTCCATGGTCCTGCCGCGGCCCCCCCTGTAGCCCAAGCTGCCCCGCGCCGCTCCGGAGCCGGCCTCGGGCAGAGGGAGCGGTCGCGGCCTCGCGGCCCGCGCGGGCTGACGAGCAGAGAGCGCGGCGCCGCGCGGTCCCCGAGGGTCCGCACGCCGGGCAGCGCGGCCCGAGCAGCGAGAGGAGCAGCGGGCGGGCGGGCGGCGCAGGGCCCGGGCCGCCCTCGCTCCCACGCCCCGGCCCCGCCGCCCGCGCCGGGGCGGTCGCCCGCAGAGGAAGGCGCTGCAGTCTCCGGGCCTCGCGGCCCCACTCAAGCGTCCTCAGCACCGAGGGCTCGCGGGTCCTGAAGGGAGGAGGCGAGCCCGGGGCCGGGCACTGAGCTCTTGGGCGCCCCCATCCCCGTTTTCGGAGCCCTCCACGCTGCGGCCGCTGTCCTCTCCGGACCATGGCCGACGACGACGTGCTGTTCGAGGATGTGTACGAGCTGTGCGAGGTGATCGGCAAGTGAGTCTCCAAGCGAGGGAGCGGGAGTGTGGAAAAATGCATTTCAGTGATGCCCGGGAGCTCCCGCACCCGCTCCGGGCCTGCCCCTTGCCCTCTTTCCCTCCCCTCTGCCTTTCTCGTCCTCCTCACCCTGGAGTATTTATAGACGGGTACCTGGATCTCCTGCTAGGAGGGGGCCTGGGGGGTTCTCAGGGATCGGTTGAGGCCAACGAGCCGAGGTCGGCCCCCCATAAGGCGTGGGGCTGGCTGCCTGCATTTTATCTGACGGTTGCACAGGGACGTGGCAGAACCGATTTTATAGTTGCTTCCTAGGAACAGTTGGGGTTATTGTTACCTTGCGTGTACCATAGACCATTTACGAAAAGAGCAGCTTGCATTTCGTTTACTGTGTTGAGAGAGAGAGAAAGAGCCTCCAGGGTTTTTAATTGTGGGGTGTGTGTCTATTGTGCAGGATATTAGACAGATGCCTTTGTGTTCACCCCATGCCCTGATTGGAGGGGGTCATTTAAGACGGGGTACGTCCAGTTTCAGCAAATTCCTCACCGGGTGTAGACGAATGTGCAAAGAGTTGGGGGCACCCGAATTTTTAATGCCTCGTTATGCAATAACTGTTCAATCAGTGCTTGAGGCTCCGTTCCACTGTTGTTGGGATGGTGGTTAGCGTGGTAGAGCCGTCTGCTTTGAGTCACCGGGCTGGTCTAGAATATAGAACTGACAGTCCAAATGCTCATCCTTTCATCTGTGTTGTATAATTACGCTAGGGAAAAGCAGGGAATCAGATTAATCACAGTGCTGATTGAGAATTAAATCTGCAGTTCCTCATCTAATTGTCCATTCCTTAAATCTGTTTTGAATAGTTTCCTTTTCATTCTTGTCAAACAATATTCCAAGTGCACAAATCCTGCTAATTTGCTTGTGAGGGAAAATGCTGGCGATTTGAAGTTGATTTCCTAGCTCAGCGTGTATTCTGTGGCTTTAGAAGTTGAGATAAGATTTAACAGCAATTTTTGCTTATTTAATAGAGCTTGCTAGATAGCTACCATTGGAATATTTTACCTCGTTTTTTGAAGCAGTGCTTTATTGTCTATTTTAAGGTCCGCAGTTGGGAAACGAAACCAAGACCTTAGAGCAATTGGCTCTCTCTCTTTTAAGTTGCCTGCAGTACTCAATTTCAATTTGTTTGAGTGCTGATAACTCATTTTTTCTTCCATGTTGAGGTATTAACAGTGTTGCCTCACATGGTGAAATTGTGTGTTGAGCTTGCTACACACTTTACTCAAACCCAGTTGCTGCGAGGACGTGTTACTCCTTGCCCCTATTGTTCAATGACCAGCGTGTCTGTTAGAAGGAGGATATCCAAATGTGTCTGGTAAAGTCGTTGTAGAAGTGCTCCAGAGCAGCGCTGTCCAGAAGATATATAATGAGAGCCACATAGCTAATTAAAAATTTTCTAGTTGCCACATTAAATGATTAAAAATAAATAGGTGCAATTAATTTTAATAAAATCTTTTATTTAACCCAATAGATCCAAACTATTAAAAATTATGAATGAGATGTTTGTACATTCTTTCATACTAAGTCTTTGAAATCCAGTGTGTATTTTATATTAACAGCACATCTCAAATTCAGATGCTAAGCTAAATTTTCATCAGAAATAACTTGATCTGTTTGGGTTTCATAAATTTGCATGTGCAAGAGTAGATTCACATACCCAAGTTATTTCAAACATACCTAAAAGTTTTTCAGTAACTGAATTGTTTCCTTTCAAATTTAAATTTAATTAAAATGAAATAAAATCTAAGATTCAGTCCCTCAGTCAGACTAGCCACATTTCAAGGGCTCCATAGCCACATGTAAGTGGCATAGTTCTAGAGAGAAAAATATGTCCAAATTCTCCTTGATTTCTTTATTGTTAGGAGCACCCAGTGAGGGTAAATTAGTTGTTTCCCCAAATCCCCAAATGACTATGTGTGGGTGAATGATGTTTGTTGTGTCATAGTTATAGCTGATGTAAACGAACCAGCAAAATCATAATTGGAAAATATGAGATTAAAATGTTAATTATATTGGGATGATGAAGAATAGCCTCATTGAATCAATTTTGGTAAGTAGTTCTGATTCCTTAAGGTCTGGAAGGATGACAGTGTGATCTCTTTGGATGTTACAAAGTGGTCAGCATCACATTAATATAGTCAGTATTCTACTGACTTAGAATTGATAGAATATTTTCAGGCAACACCCCCCGGTAGAATTCAATTCTTCTGTTGTTTCACAGCTGCATAAAGCTGGAGAACAAGCTAATTTTGAGGCAGTAGGTATTCTATGGCTACCTTAACTACTGTGAACAGTGAAATCTCACTCAGACTTGGTCAGTGCCATTTATGAAATGCCATTCTGTGAAATAATGAATCCAAGATAGCCTTAGTGTTAAAGAATGTAATGATAGCAGTCCTCACCCTGTGTAAAGGTTGAAGGTTTCTCCGGTAAATTGTCTCAGTATATATTGATCTGGAAATTGAAATTCGTTTGAGATTTTTCTAGCAGGGACCTTGACAGCATACATTTTTAACTTAGAATTTGTTCAATTATGGATTTAAAAAGAAATGCTTTGAAGATGTTCACTTGCACTAAAAACCTTTTTGTTGATTTCTATCCAAATTCCATAGAATTTTGATTTTTTTATATCAAATTAGTGTCACAAATTGCCTTTCACCACCAAGTCTTAATAGGTTTAAATTTTCACTGAGGCACTTTAAAATAGATTTCACTTTTCAAAACTAATTGGCCACCCACTCACTCCCCTACCTACTCATCCACCTACTCACTCAGCCACTCAGCCACTGTGTACTAGGCTTTACTTGATGGTGTAAAGGAAAGTTCCATTTTAAACCCTAGTGTGTATTTTCCTTGAGTCGAGAAGGACAACCTGAGTTAAGGATGTTTTAAAGTAGAAGATCATTATTTGCAATATATTTTCTTTCTAGTGGCTGTGGCCTTTATGCTTATGAAAGCTGTCTTTGAGGGAACCATATAATCTGATTCATTATAAAGATTGAGAGGATGCCATTTCCTTTTTAAAAAATAAAAATTCTTTCCCCTGTGTTTCTTATTTTTGGAAATCTTGCAGAAACACTTTTGAATGCCTGTTGTTTCCATAACATTTTCCATGTAGCATCTTTCAAGTTACTAAAACAAATCTCCAATAATAGTACCTTATCATAGTCCCCCAATTTTTTTTCTTTGCACATGCAGCAAGTACTGGAAAAGAAAGGTATTATGCAAATCTGGCTTAGTGTCTAATTTTTATGTCATGATCATTTACTGTAGCTTTTGCAAATTTTATAGTTTTGTAGGTAAGTGCACAATCTGTAATATTACATGAAGGAAATTTTAAGATGATTCATCCAAAATAAAATATAGAAAAATGCATACTTTCTGGGACAGCAGCTTCTGTGAAAAAGAATAGCAAAATGCACATTATTTACACCTTGTGTAGACTGAATATTTGCCCTGGTATTTAGGATATTTAGTAATTTGTAACTTCTGACTTTCCTGCTCTGGTAGGACATATACTAAAATTGGAATGATGCAGCATGACCCCTGCTCAAGGATGACATGCAAGTTTGTGAGGCATGCTGTATTTGCTTACACCTCAAGAGCACTTATCATATTTAATTACAGTTACTTATTTATGGGTCTCTCTACCTAGCAAACAGGAGCTTCTTGAGGGCAGGGAGCAGATCTCACACATCTTTCTTCATTACTTAACACACTGCCTGCAACCTAACAGTTGTTTGTTAGCTGTGGAATGAATTGAGTAGTTTTAATAAAATCTCATTAAAAGGCAAAACCATGTTTATCAACCTTGGAGCAATTATTGTCCCAAAAGGCTGCATTAGTTTATAGTTATTGTTCTTCACCTGGCCACATATTAGAATCACCAGAGGCTGTTAAAAAGATCATTGCCAGGGCCCTGTGTTGGAGCAGTGAAATCAGAATCTCTGGGAGTGGGTCATGTCAGTGGTATTTTTTTAAGCTGACCGATTCAAATGTTCAACAGTGACTGAGAGTCATTGGTTTAAAACTCAGGTGATGTATATGTAGTATTTAGGGACTGTTTTTTTTTTCAGAGGATTACAGTTTTTACAAAGCATAATTAATGTTTTTAGGAAGGCATTGAAGTGAATGGTCTAAAACATGGATTTTTATCTTCTATGCACTCATGTTTCTGAGCCTTGTTTAAGAATTTAGTTTCAGCCTATACTTGTCTTTGATTTCTTGGGCCTTTTAAGGTTCACATTGATTTATGACACTCATCTAATGCTAACATGGTGATTGTCTGATATTTGGAACAATACATAACAAGGATAGCTTCAGTATCAGTTGATGATGGCTTCTCACTAAAATGGCTTAATTTAAGATTAACTTATCAATTTAGTATGGATTGTGTTTGCACACACACTCTATTAAAAGAGAATGGTTGCTTGTGTACTTTAAATTCCGTATTTGTGACTCCAGTAAGGCTATTTAGTAAAGGATTGAGTTAAATGTAGCCTCTATGTAAATACTGGATTAATAATATGTGAAGTATATAATTCAGCATAGAGGAAAATTCTGCTTTATAAATTGTACTAGTTTCTATGAATTTCACATGTATTGATTGGCTTAGTGATTTGGATTTCTAGCACTATCCAGGGAATGTTACATCATGTTGGAGAATCTTTTCTGGAAATTTTAACTAGATATTGTAGGTAAACTAGTTTCTAATGTTAGGAAAAGGTCAAGTTTGAGCCTGAAAGAAATGAGAACTTTCCAGAAAGGAGTAGTGCTCCATGAAAGAACTGCATGATCACAGTGACAGCCATGTAACAAGGTAAATGAAACACAATCACCAGCTAAATCGCTGGGAGCCCAGAAAGAATCCAAGCCATGGAGGTACAGCTGCACTTCTACAGAGGAAAAGCTTGTTAAACACAGGATATGGATTTCTACAGATGGTA